CTGATTGAACCAAATTTAAGCTTTTTGAAGCCCAATAATTGACGAAAACTTAGCTGTTGACTGCAAACTCTCAACAAAGAAACCAGGAAGAGTCACAGTAACTCAACCATCCATGAGTCACCATCAATCTAATTCACATAAAAATAGATAAGCCATCAACTTGAAATATTACTCAACGTCTATGTCTCCCTCAAAGAAAAAATAAAGGCATGAAAAAAATCACTCAACTGCCATAAATAACAGCCACGAACTTCCTGCAATTTTTATTTTATTTTATTTTATTAAAAAAAACTTTAATGCTCAATTCTTGCCTTTCTTCTCATTCTAGCAGTTACGGCTTTAGTTGTAGAGAAAGATTTTTACACTCAATTGAGCGTAAAGTTAACAAGAGGCAACTGCTCAACCGCATCACGTCAACTGCAACTTTTGCAACTGTTTTCCAACTGTCTTTTTATGCTTCTGTTTTTGAGTCACGACTTGTGCGAGATGAGAAATTTCTCTCATTTGAATTGAATTGAAAATGAAAATTGTCATGAAGGTTTCCCTGAGTCTCGTTATGTAAGCACAGATGGAATTACTTGACATCTTGATTCCTGTGATGAAATTTTGTTTAAGAAAAAAACACTTGTGTGATGCTTGCGACCTACTGAACGAGAATTTTACTTGAGGATAAATAAAACTCACGTGAGCGATGCTGATGGAAATTAGCATGGGTTTTATTTGCTTTTTGCGTCGTGTCTTGTGAATTTTAAATGTGTACTGGATGTGAGATTATGTTTTGGAGGTGAACTTGATTTTTTTATGAAAAATGAATCAAAAGCATTTGAGAGACATTGAGGAACAAACTTGGTAAATTGCTAAAGAGTTCTGAACCTTTAGTGGCTCCATACTAGCTTCATTTGCTCAATTGTCATCACAAATAACAAAAGTTCATGAACACAAATGTTCAAATCCCAAAAAAATTCAATAATCCACAACAATTCATGATCAACTCTACAAACTCAATTTTTACAGCCACTAAATATGATTTACGACAACATCGACTAATCAGCTTTGCAGTTAATGAAATTCTAATCATTGAACCCTAACATCTAATCTTAATAGCTGTAAAGTGTGAATTTTATGGCATTTTTCTTTATGACTCTTAATCCTCTGCGTCATATTCTATGACTAATAGCTCTGATTTATTGTTTATGGTTTAATAATAGATTTCATGGTGATTACTAAGCTAAAGGATGTTAAACTCTGAATTGAATATTCTATATAGAATTTAATTTATTTAATGAGAGCATGAGTGGATTAAAGGAATTGCAGGAGAATCAGAATTAATTAAAGTTGCTCTAGTCGCGTTAAAAGCATGAAAATCTTCCTGCAATCTCAAAAATATTCCAAATATTTCCAATAAAAACGTCCACCAAACATTCTTTCAATTTTTACTTCCTAAAATGACCATTTAAAGAATGCCGTAAACATTTCTGCATGCGAAACAAGTTCCAATAAAATTTCTCATGTCTTCATTTGGAATTATCGGATTATTAAGTATCAATAACAAGATACAGTGAATAGGAAATAAAAATAGCAATTAAACCCACATTGGAATCAAGATCTTGTAATTGAGTACAAAATGTTGTTTGAAAACTATTTTCGTGTTGACAAGCAAAACAACAAAGAAAAGTCAGAGATTGATGTGCTTATTAGATAAGATATGGAATAAATTTACAATAAATAATATTGTGGATATGACAGGTTTGGGAATGAGAGCTTGAAGTTCAAGGTTCTTGATTAATTGTTCAAGAATTCGACAGAATAAAATGAGGAATGAGCATCAAATTTAAATCATAATAAATTCACAGCAATTCTAAGTATAGAAACTTAATTAGAGCTTAAAAAGATGCTCGAAAAATAATCACAATTTATTTTCTTCTGTTTTAAACATCAATTCCTCCCACACAATTATTAAATGTGCTGAAGCAGTAAATAAAATTGAAATGGTGAAGATCATCTGGCAGACGGAATTCCTAGGAACTTTTCTTAAGAATTCCTAGAAAGTTTTCTGCGATTTCGTAAAAAAATTCCTTAGACTTCCTATCATTATGGCCCAAACTTCTACGCAAGCTTCTCGAAAAACTGTAAAAGCAAATATTTCCAATTGCGATTAAATTGCGATAAAAATACTTCTTCTCAAAAAATTGAAATGCTGCCATGAATGACCTATACTATTCAGCACTAGCTTACAGCTATATCAAATCACAGCTGTTAATTACACATGGGTTAAAGCAGCTCGGTAGAAATTGTTTGGTACTTCGATACCTAATTATTGCAGTACACAACGTTCACGGGTTAACGTATACAACAGTTATTTTACAATTTATTATACTTAGGCTTACGTATAAATAAGAATGTATACGTAGGGATTAAATTATAGCTGCAAATTTGACCTTTAGTTTGAATAACAAACAGCTTTAATTAAAGATAATGCGTATTGCTTAGGTACGCTTATCGGTACTTGTTCATTAAACTTTTGCAAATTTGACTATAATATTTCCTTTTACAAAAAGTCTGGCGAAAAATGCCGATCAGAATTAGTTCGGTAAACAAGTCACTATTTTTGCTTCAATTTCAGCGACCACGTTTTAAGTACAAATAAGCGATTTCCTAAACAATACATACCTCAATTTACAGCTGCATGTCATATAGACCCAAAAACTTACACCTGTGTTATGAAGCTGTAAATTAGTACTAAATAGTATAGAATTCCATTAAATCTTAATTTGTTTGGATAGAAACTTTTTGCGATATTGGGTTGAATTTTCTAATATTTTTCAAAATTTTTGGGATTTCTTTAGTACAGCCTGAAATATTCCAGGTAATCCTAAGGAATCCTGATATATCCTAGAAAATATAAGTAATTCTAGTATTTCCTAGGATTTTGGGGAAATCCTCTCAAGAACTTTCTGTAATATCCTAGGAAATCATGATATACTAGGGAATCATAGTAAACATAAACATTTTATAATTATTCTAACGAGGGTTCTAGGAATGACTAGGATTTTCTAGTATTTAATTTTCTTAGGAATTTTTCAAAAAATATTTTTACGAATCGCAATTATTCCAAAAAACTAAGGAAGTTTGGGCCATAATGATAGGAAGTCTAAGGAATTTTTTTAGGAAATCGCAGAAAATTTTCTAGGAATTCCTAAGAAAAGTTCCTAGGAATCCCGTCCGCCAGATGACCTAGAAGCAAATTGAAAACATATTTGAGGATGCCTTCAAAATTTATGAGATCAATTTATTTTGCAAGTTTGATTGCAAAATTTGAATGGTCGTCCAAGTATTGCTAGAGATGAGATGAGATAAAATTAACTTGAATGTTGATCCAAGCTTGTTAAGACGACTTGAGCATGATAAAACTTGATTTCTTAATTGATACTCTCAATACTATGAGAAAGTTCTGCCCTCTCGACAAAAATTCATGTTTGAGTTGCTTCTTGCGAATTTAATAAAGAATTTGAGTTGTTGCTATGCAAGCTTGTATGATGATTCTCTTCACAAACTTTACACCTTGAATTACTATTGCAATCTTGCTTGCTGTGTCCAGGTCTAAGACAGTTCATACACAATTTGTATTTTGAAGCTATTTTGAGTCTTCCTTCTTGATTTTCTTTTCTGAATATTTCGCACTGATAGACTCGATGACTACTAGAGCACAATTTGCATTTTTCAATTTGCACATTCTTGTTTACTACGAGTGATGTCTTACTTGACTGTGATGTGATACTTTCATCAGATAACGATTTGAACAATCCAAAAGAATTCCCTTCTCGACAAGTGAATGTTAATGATTTTAAACGTTGATCCATGAATTTACAGAAAGCAGTCCAACTTGGTTTTTCATCACTACTGTCAATATGGATATCCCATTCTCTCATGAGATTTTTATCAAAACGATTCCTGACAAATTGTTCAAAAATCATGTCCAATAATTCTTCTGGTGTAACTTTCATCAAATTGAATGCTGCACGATGACTGATGTAAGTATCTAGGACTCTCCTTGCTTCTAATAAGGAACCATCAATAGGACCACTAATTGTCATAAGAGAATTTGTGTATTGCATCAACAAAACTCTTCGATCGTCAAATCTTCGACATAACGCTTCCCAGGCAGATTTGTAATTATCTCCTGAGAATTGATAGTTGTTCAATATATTTTTAGATTCTGGCTGAATGTTCACTGATGACTTCAAATAATGGAATTTGTCATTGTCTGAATACATTGGGTTTGAATGTATCAAGGAGATATAAGTATCTTTAAAAGATATCCAATTGCTAAATTCTCCATTGAATTCTGGAAGTTTTATTTCAGGAAGTTTCACTCTTCTTGTTGATGATGTCGATGATTGAATTGCGTTTACTTTGACTTCTAAACGTCTCTCTTGCTCTTTCTTCAGAGTTTTTATCTTTACTGCTAACTCAAATGTTGTAATAACTGCAAGTTTCTTGAACAAAGTAAACTTCTGAGTTTCAACATCATTTTCTCGTTTTCGATGTAACAGTTCAAATTCAATGAACACTTCGTTGAATTCATCTAACATGTCTTTGAACACATCATGATACACTTTTGCTTCTTAAAAATTTGTTTCTTCCTTTAACATGTCATAAGTGCTTTTTATGCTTTCAAAATCTTCGATTATTGAATTCAGCTTTGCTTTCTTTCCTTCATATGTATTCATTATTGCTTATTCTTGTTGAACTTTGCTTCAACAAATCTGCCAGTTTCAACTTGAACTTTCTTCAAAATTCTTCTTCAAATTTTTTAATTTCTTTCAATATTCAATTTCTAAGTCTCCTCCACGTCTTGTTTCACTGTATCAATCGCAAGGTTCGAAGGACCAATAAAAAATGATGTTTTAATGTTTTAGAATGAGTGGACTGTATTTCAATGACTATTTTGAACAGTGGTACAACTAAAATCAAACTAATTTTACAATATTTTCAAAGATATCTGCGATCATTTCTTTCTTAATAATAAAATATTGATTCACCATGCAACAACTTTAATGGCTAATAAATTTAATCATGCACGATTTTTAATTAATTTATAAATACTTAAGATGAGATTCTCTTCAATCACAGAAGGAATTGCAATCCAGACTGGCGATAAACTTCACGTCGCAATAAAATCAATCATTTTGGTACAAAAATCTATCTTAATAATCCATAATAAGAGCTTACTGCTCATCAAACATCCACCAAGCTCCATCCAACAAGGAAACAACATTTACTTCATTCACAAACTTCATAGCGTTCCGTGAGATGCGCTTGACATTTAAATCCCTCAAATTCTCTAAACAGACCATAAATTCATGTCCCATAATCATATCCACATGATCATTATCCATAAGTGTCGTCATAATGCAACTGACAACAAGATTCGCATACTGAATCTCATCAATCTTTAAGAAATACTCAAAAAGTGGCAAGAAGTGCTTGAAAACGTCTGCAGGCTGTGCAGCACAGAACGGAGGAAATAAAGATCCAACGAACAACGAGACAGAAAACATGTATTTCTTACAATTTGGAATAATGCACTCGATAATGCCAGCATGGACGATTTTGTCGCGGAATTCAGATGACATCATAACAGCATAGCGTGTAGTCATAATAATTGGATACCAATCGGTATGACACTCGTCAAACAGAAAGAGATTCTTGATAACAGTGAGGAATGGAGATGTGAAGCCATGAGCGATGAACTGAAGGATGTATAATTAATGTCAGTAGATTTTTGAAGGAACTGAATCAAATTTATTAAGGCTTACTGTGTCGACCAAGTGTGGAAAATGTTCAAATGCTTTCAATATAAACTGTATTGCCTCTGACTTGAGTTTATGACTTCCAGAACAACGAAGGAAGTAAACCATCATGTTGATGCAATCCTCACCCAATTCAAAATTGACGTCAAATTCATGTTTTTCAGCACATTCATTAAGCCACTCATAGAGGGAATCGAACGCTAGAACAGACTGGAAAAATATGTATTATTGAGATTTGAACTCTTAGAATGAAATATTTTATGAATTGTTACCAATTTCTCAGGATTTCGGATCGTTGTTCTAAATGACTGGATGACATTCATTTTCTTAGACATTTGAGATGCTTTTTGGTAATTATTTGATACTTTTTATTTCACTTTTTTATGCTTTTTATTTAACTTTTTGATACTTTTTGACAACTTTTTGGTAAATTAAAGGAACACTTTATAGTCTGACTGCACAACAAAAATTCAAAAATACAAATGAATTTTTGAGTGAAATTATTTCATTGCTTATTATGATGAAAAGGTTTCTTGACTAGGAATTTTTTTTATATGAATGCTATGACTATTCTCGTTTGATTTGTGATTAAGAAGTTCAGTCGATAGTTTAATGGATTTTAAGGGATTTAACTTGGTTTAGGCAACTTAAAAATTGTTTAAAAATCGGAACTTTATATGCATGACTAAACCTCATCAGTATGACTTCTAAAATCTCTTCTATTTATGATCACAGATGATTTTAAGGAAACCTGAAGATAAACACTCGCTCTGACATGATCCGAACAGCCTTATCAGCCACAGCATCATCTTGGGTCTTTAATTTAATTTAATAACCTTAATTGCAGCTTTAATCCTCTTTATAACCTCAGTTCCCTCAATTTTACCCAAAACACTATCCAAACAATTATTTCACATCCCCACAAACCTAAGACTGTCAATCTTGAACTACCATTTAACCCAATAACCTCAAAATCGTAACAAAAGCATGCAGATTTCCGATTAAAAACTTACACATTAATTCCAGCAATAATAGCAGATTAATATCTCATTTTTTAAATCACAACATAAACATTAATCATTATTATGATCATAATAAATTAATGGTAATTATTGGCTACATCAAAAAGGTTATTACGTCTTTATTATAAAACGGGGCATGGCTAGTTATGCTTTGTTTTAGGCATTGTTTCACTTTTACATGATGTTTGAATTGTTATCTGTTAAAGATCGGAGTAGAGTTGAGTTGTAATGAGTTTTGAGATTAGATTGGAGCTTGAAACTTGTTTAAAATGCTTGTAGGACATGAAAGATTGACAGAATGACGAGGAACTTGATAATGAGAGATCTTTGGTGTTTTTTTTGGTGGTTATATCAACGAGTTTAAACCTTGCTTAATCCAAAATTCAATATAGCCAAATCCAAAAGATTAACATCTCTTACCAGCAGCAATTAAACTTTGATACTCCCAAACAGTGACTTCCCATGACTCAAAATCCGCAATATCAATGACCCTATTGCAAAATTCATAATACTTGAAAGTCATGATTTATATATTCAGTAGCTAAGCCTCCCAAAAATCCATTTACAGCAATAAATTCCTTGCATTATTAAAAACGTGTGCAAATAATCAATTCCATCAACTTCAAAAGCAAAGAAAACTTTTTTTCATCAATCTGTAAGCGTCAAATTGAGTTTCAATAAAACAATCTTCACGCGTGTTTTCGGATTAGTGACACTCATAATGGCTTTCGTTTGGGAGAAAAATCAATCATTGTTCGATAAACTCTCATGAAATCAGAAAGAGGGGTTGTACGAAAATGACGTCTAATATCGAATGAGGTACTTCGTCATATGGCGACTTCCTTTTCTTGCCAAAACTCTATTGAGTCTCCATTCTTTGAATAGTGTACCCACTCTTATAACTAGACCTACTGACTTACTTACTACGATGACCTTACAGATCAATTGTGATCCCTCAGATGCCGCCCAAAAACCGGCTCTATAGATGGCTACCGCTTGCCAATTTCCTGTACCAAATGCAATACTGTCTCTATCAACAGCCTCTTTCCAATAACTAGACCTAATAACTGAATGATCCCGCTTCAAAATTTCCTTCTTTTTCTCACATTAATTCATGCGATGTTGCCAAAAAAACAGCATTACATCATATGATTTACAATAACACATACAAAAAGAGTGTAAAGAGTGTAAGCATAAGACTCATAATGTTATAAGATATTAAAAAAAGGCAAATAACGTGAAAGTGATGTAAGAAAGTATGTATGTAGGATGGCTCATAAATATTTTAATGTGAAAAGTTTACCTCAACCGAGGCGAACCCCTCCCGATGGTATCGAGTCAAACGACATGGAAAATCAGAATAAAACGAGGAAAAATAGCAAGGATAAAGGAAGAAGAAATTAAACGGGGAAAAAAAAGAAAGTTTTTAGGCTTTTAATGTTCATCCATACGAAAGTCGAATTGCATATATTATAGCATAAGAATATGGTGAAGATGAGACTTCCCCGACTCTGAATGTTTAAATAATGAGAAAAAAAATTTATTTTATTTTTAGCTTCAAAAAATTATTCAAGCGATGATCATTACAGGGCCTATGTTAATAACTTAGACACATACATGCGAACATATGTAAAATGTTGCACGGTTTAGTAGATATATGAGGAAGATGAGTTATTGTGTATATTAATAGATTGACAAATTTTTGAAAGGTTGAATTGAATTTGATGAGTTATTGGATGAGAATTAGGTCGTTTTATGGGGAAATTAGGGTTTAAGCTATGAATGCTAATTGATATGAGATGTAATTGAGATTCAAAGAGCTTCAAGTTGTTAAACTTTACAAATTAAGCATTTTCTACAATCTAACATGCTTGTTTGGTTTGTTTCAGTCAACTTTAAAGTATTTTGGTCTTTAATTGAGTCAACAATTGATAAAAACTTTCAAAAATGTTTTGCTTACATTTCCACTTGGACATTTTGATCTTAAAATTTGACCTGAATTCTCAAAATTATCGCATTTAACTGCAAGTAAAGCATTCAATGGAAGTGAGCAAAGCTAACACAGTCATCAGAAGCTAGAAAATCTACATAAACAGACCAAAAACTGAAAATCTTCAATTTTAAATTGTTTGTAAACGAAAATTCAAAAAAATGCGGGAAAATTCAAAATGTAACGACTTTTTGTTCATCTGTTGAGACTTAAAGCTACATATCCTATTTCCTTCATTCCAATCTAAACTAAACAAAACATAAAAATTGCATAACAATCCAAACAAGAACACATCAACGTCTAAAAAAAATCCATTAAAAAACAATCACTTACAGCATTTCATTAAAGCAAGCCGACACAGATTGGCTAGTGGGTGCGCGCGCAAATATTTATTGCACACACATCCACGCAAAGACAACACGAGAGCATGTTGCAACAGTTAAATATGATTATTATTAAACTATAATCTATTTTTACACTCTGCTTATTAGCTGCTTGATAGTTTCACATCTCCATCTCTAATTTATTTCACTTTCTCGAGACTTTTTCTGTTTTTCTTTCTCTGACTCAAAACTATGTACTATGCTGTTACTTTTTTATCTGCTTGCCGTAAAATGATTTAATTCTTTTTTTTATGTCTGTTACAAGTTTAGCTTAATTCTGGGTCTTGTAAAATTAATGTATTGTTTTGATCAGAGTTGATTAGAGTTAGGAACTGGAACCTAGAAGACTGTCTTTTGATCAGATGCTCCTAGGGCACAGTTGAGACATTTCTCGACAGAGCTTAAAATCTGTCTGAACGAAGTTTTTAACAACAGTAGCAGTATGTGTCGTGGAAGACCAAAGAACTTGTTGAAGGTTGATAGGCACAGCATTGTATTTGGTTTAGGAAATTGGCAAGCGGTAGTCAGCGATAGAACCAGCTTCCGGCGACATTTGAGGGAGGCTATGGATCACAATTGATCTGTACGGTCATCGAAGTAAGTAAGCAGTCTGTGTCTGTACGTCCGTTGAACTTAGCATTTCTCTGTTTCATTTTGTGTCTGCCCTTCCATCTATCCTGATTATATATCTTTATCAAAGACAACACTAGTCTCACATCTAGTGTCAACAACACTGCTTCTTAAAAATAGTTGCAACTTTTGTGTAAACCGAACAACAACAAGAAGAAGAAACAAGAAAAAAATTAGAGCATGTAAGACACAAAAGCTACACAACAGTGGCAGCGAAAAAAAAATGAAAATATTCAGGAAATGAGAACATTATGCGGCAGTTTACTTCTTTCTCTTTCATAATCATTTATAGACACAGAAGCTGAGTGAATCACACAATAAAAATGATGCACTGTTACAGGTGCTTGTACAGGCACAGCAAATGAAAGAGGTGAAAGAGATGTTGCTTTGTGTAAATTGAATTGAAAGGAAATGCCCGTAAATTACAATCATGTCATGGAGATGAATGGAAGTCATTAATTAAACCAAAAGTGCTTTTGCTATCACTTCTCATTATCTTGTCTTGTCTGGCTACAAAATGGCCAAAAAGATTAAGATAATTGAAAATTGAAATTAGAGACATTTAAGACTGAAGTCAGTGGTTTGGCTTGGAAACACCAAAATTATGAAATGAATTTTGAGAGAGACTGAAAAGTAATTGAAAATTGTTAATTGCCATGTTGAAAAGTAATCAATTTTATGAGTGTGAATTTCATGGATTACTGCTAGCTGCAGTTATGGCTATTGGTTAGGTATAGCCATTATTGTTGTTTGAAGTATTTTTGACATGTTTTACATAAAAAGTTGTTGATTTTAAGTTAATTTTGTGTAAATATGAGTTGTATTGGCGAACTAGGTTGGGATTTTGGATATAGAGTCTTAGGGGTCGTTCACTTATGACGTCCGAAATAAACCGTCATTTTTCAAAAAGAACAATGGATTTTCAAGAATTTCTATTGTTCTTTTCTTGCTGCCCCCCCCCCCCCCTGGACGTCATAAGTGAACGGCTCCTTGTGTAGACGATTCTGTTGTTGCTAAAGTAAAGATTATGGACTGAGAGGTAGAATAACATGCAATTAATCTTTATTCTTTCTTATATGATGAATACAAGGTTTGATTCTCACTTAAATTGTGAAAGTTGACTTACAGCTCTGATCTAACTCCTGAAGTTTGATTACCACTCTTTAAAACTGATCAATAAAGCCAAATAATGGACAGAAATAATGTAGCATTGATAAATAATCGTCAAGATCCGTTCCTTTATTTCCAAACTTGACATTTAACATCAAGAAACACAAAACTTCCTCATAATCTCATAATGCACATCCAATCTTTCAAATTTTCTGTCTAATCCATCCTATTTACCTCTAATGCATTCAAAAATTGATGTTTATTGAAACATTGTTGTATATCCAACAAAAATTCTATTCCTCAATGATTGAATGAAGCATTTTGTGTATTTATTTATTCATTTTCTTCCTCATATCAATGATTGATGTTTATGTTTATAAATCATCGTGCACATACGAATCCAGCTAAGCAAACAAAAGATTCAATAAATGTACGGATGAGAAAAGACTTCGGAAACAGCCAATGTTTAAAAGTTATTTGTTTTCTCATTTCTTCTTATTGTTTTGCACTTAATAAAATTGTCAATTTTTCATTCTTATGAGGAATCAGGAAAAGAAAGCGAAAAAGTTTTTTTTGTGTTGTTTCCAAAAATGAGGCAATTTTTCATGAAAATCGTAAGACGCTCCGGTGCCTTTTTGAAATGTTTTGCTGCTGTGAAGTCTGATTGAGATTGTTTTTTGAGGCTTAAGTTGCCGTGGAGATGAAGAGGGCTTTTGAGAAGTGAAATGAGAAAAAAGATGCTAACTTACAGGGTTGTTCTTAGTATTTCTGGAAGCTATGAGTCAATCAAGAATGGAATTGAAACAAAAAGTAAGTCAAACTTCATCCAAGTCAATTCCTTTTAAGGAATTTCCTTTTTTCACATTTTCCATATGCCATTATGAAAGGAAAAAGGCATACCTAAGTGAATCACATTCAGCATACCTCCCACTTTACATTACCTTTATGTTGCAAAAGCATAACCCTTACATTATATTCATGGATATACTTGATGAATGTTTTTCTTTTTTGCATGTCAAGGAAGAAAAATCAATAAAAAATGTGTTTCTTTTTTGCTATGGAAAAAAAGGAAGGAACAAGCATGTAATGGCATGTACACATACACAAACATAAATTCTCCTTCATTATCATTAAATTGTTAATGAATGCTTGCACATTAAATCACTAACGTAAAAAAAAAGACTGTTTAGATACAGTTTATGTGCAATTTATAGTCATTACGGGAAAATGGAAGAAGTGAGATTTCGCTCTATTTTATGTAATGTGGAGTTAATTGGGCAGGAGATAAAAAATTGCATTTTCAGGAATACTTCCTTAATGCTGGGGAATTTTTAAATGAAATTCCATTAAACTGATGGATGAACAAGATGTAATAAGAGGAGGAATAGATGTAATGGCTCAGTGTTGGAA